TGTAAATGCAGCCAATACACGGTTACGCTTTGCTTTTTGATAAACCCGATTTGTTGTTCGCTGTGAGTATGAAATCTATGAACACATCATAATCCGCAAAAATTAAGGTCTGTATATGTGTGTGTGTGTGTGTTTTTTTTTCCCTTTGGTTGTTTTTGTTTTTGTTTGTTTGTTTAGTTTTTCGTTTTATTTACGCGGAATATACTCAATACCCATATAAAGTCAACAAACGCATATTTTCCAGCTCTTAGAAAATAATAGATCGGCGCTCACCCATAGGTGTTGTCTGCCCGTCAATAATCTTGGAGCTACTGGCAGCAGAATGACAAGTTAAAGGAGACTGCCGGTTGGAAACCTCTGGTTTAAACAATTAGCTTCATAGAATTAAAGGGGGTCCTTGAACATTTGGTACTGACACAATGGGTTAAAACATATTACCACAAATAACTAACATTGTTTTAAAATATTTCAGGCTTAAGACATTTCGTTTCATTTGTGTGCCGCCTACGGAATCGAGATGATATAGTCTGGAGCAAAATACTTATTTATGAACACATTAGTGATATTATTAGTAATTACAATACTATTTTGTTGACTTGAAAACTGTGGTCAAAATTTGTGGTCAAGTCAATAGTCACATCCGTTTCACGTCTGTTGAAATATGTGGTGCTAGATCTTTATTTGATTAACCAATCAACGTTTGGTGGGTCAAATCTCCATCTTTAAGGAACTTTGTAAAAACATCCTACGTTTTAGCAGGTGAATATACTAGCATATAAGTTACAATGTGTAATTGTGCACATTTTCGTACATGGTTCTAATTTACCTCTGCGTTTTATATTTTTATGTATCAAGGAAATATTGCCTATTCATATCGAGCCGCGGCTTGATATTATTAGTGCTTGTTCTAATCATAACAGGAACAATGGCCGAATGTTACAAGCTGGGCTCACATAAGGAAGACTCGGTCATGGATTTAGGTGAAATCTAAGTAAGCTACAGCCTGGGGAGTCACAATTTGAAGGGGCTTACACAAATCCTCTTTTTTTACGCAATTTATCTTTCCGCATTTTAATAAGCGATTTTGTATTTGTGAAATTAGAAATAGAAAATAAAAATGTGTTAGGTTGAAACTTTTAGAGGATTATTCAATAGGAATTTTGTGATTTTGCGTCCGGCTCGCTAGCGCAGTTGGTTAAAACCGTGAGGAACTCCTTGTGGTCTCGGTTCACGCCCGGGGGTAGGCAGAAAAGCCACGTTTCTCCCAGATTTACAGTATCTATCATGGAATCAAGGCCGAACTTTAAAAAAATGTGATTTTGCAAACAAATTCTTTATTATTTCTCTCAATAAAAGTTAAACGACAGTACATTTCCATTATCCGTATATTTAAAAGGCGTTTAGATGTGAAAATGTGTCGGATATTATCTGGGCGTAATTTAGAAGAACGGTAGGGACATTGTGGTTTTGTATAGCTTAGGACCTTGTTAAGTCTAAATTCGGCCCTGTGGAGGCTGCACTAACCAATGGGTCCTAAATCCTCATGCTCACGACTCCCCTCTCCCCCTCCCTCTCTTCCCCTCTCATCTCCCACTATGTTCTAATAAGCGAAAAAAAAAAAAAGTAAAGGACTCTTTTATAAACCTTTAGGTGTATAGGGCTAGACCTATATTTTATAGACCAATTGGCACAAGATGGGTGATGTGGTCAGCATTTCGGGACTGCACCAGGTACCCACTCAAGGCTGGGTCGACCTGGAAGTCAAAGTCATTTTTGACAAAAGTCCGGCTCTGCCAGGTAGCGAACTCACAACCTTTTGATTCGTAGCTGCGTCTAGCCGCGCCGCGACGCCGATTCCCCGATGCTCTAATAGCATGTCTCCTATTCATGTTGATTCCAAAGCTCCTCTGGCCGCTGTTAGTCTACGAAGGGACGATGACAGCAGTGGAGACGATGGAGAGGAAACTCAACACAGCCTTAAGAAAGTGGATTGGTGCACCGCCTTGTCTGACCGACGTGGCTCTGTATTGCATGCAGGCTAAGCTGGTACTCCCGTTCAAATCGATAACTGAAGAGTTTAAAGTCGGCAAGGTAAGACTCGCCATGCTCTTGCGCGAGTCTTCAGACCCAAATGTCATCTCTGTCCAGCCCGCTCTAAAGACTGGTCAGAAGTGGAGAGTCCTCGATGCGATTGAATCTGCCCAGAATGCACTAAAATTAAAGGAAATATTGGGATACACTCAAACCGACCGTCGAGGCCTGGGTCACGGGAAGGTCAACTGGTGGTCAAAAGCCTCAGCCAAAGAACGCCGAGACATGGTAATACAACAAGTTAGGGACAACGAAAACGAGGTTTTTTTCCAGAAAGCAGCCCAGCAGTCGCAGCAGGGCCATGGGTCAGCCTGGAGAGCGCATTGCCAAGAGTACGCACATAGGGTGAGATCTGGCGAATGACCGCGTTGCGACTGAGCTTTATCGTTCGTTCGGCGTACGATGTATTACCGTCTGGTGTTAACATGGTTAAGTGGTCTGCGACTAACGATCCGACTTGCCCGCTGTGCAAAGCGAAGCAGACGCTTGAGCACGTTCTGTCCGCATGCAGGAAAGCCCTAGGTCAAGGCGACACAACAAGGTGCTAAAAGAGTTAGCAGCCGTTGTTGATCAGGCTAGGATGCGGGCCAATGCGAGTGTCATTCCTACCATCGTCCCCATACGTTTTCTCAAGGCTGGGCAGATTTAAAAAGGTAAGATCAACCGAGGCGCATTCGCTCTATCTATGCTAGACTCTGCGAGGGACTGGTTACTGGCGGTTGATCTGCCGGGCCATGAAAGGTACCCTGAGTTCATCCAAAAGACCGGCCTGCGACCTGACATAGTTCTTCACTCTACGGAGAAACGGCAGCTCATCCTGATTGAGCTGACCGTCCCGTATGAGTCGCGTATGGACGAAAATCACATGTATAAACTCGAGAAATACTGTGATTTAGCAGCCGGTCTGAGGAGAGACGAGGCGTATACAGTACGTGTCTTTGCCGTCGAAGTGGGAGCGAGAGGTCTCTTCTCCAATTCACTCTACAATGTGGTTAAAGAACTAGGATTGCGCGGTAATGAACGGAAACGGACACTTAAAAGGCTGGGCGAGGTTGCTGAGAGGGCCTCAAGCTGGCTTTGGACGCAACGGAACAACGTAGGGGACGGGCCTCGGTGAGCTGGCCCGGGTGCCTAGTGGAAAAGAGTTTATCATCCATTGAAAGTCTATCGTGTCCGAATTGTCTGCCAGTTTTCCTCCGCCACCTGCTAATAAATGTCCAACATGTGTCCGGTATACCAATCGTAAGCTTGCCACTCGGTCGTTCAGTCGGAGTACACATGGACACACGGAGTCGCCGTGGTGTAGCGGCTAGACACTCGCCAGCGAATCGGAAGATCGTGGGTGCAGATCCTGACATAACCGGTCTCTCTTCAAAAAAACGAACTTGGTTTCCAGGACGATCCAGCCTTGAGTGGCTATCAGGAGGAGTCCTGCGAAGTAAAGGCAACCTGCGTGTTGTTGATCACATCACCCACCAAGTGCCGATTGATCTGTAAAATCTAGGTCTGGCCTAGCCTTATGTACCCAGGTTGCCTGAAGGCGCGGAAAAGGGTCCTTTACTTTACTTTTACACATGGACACATCAGCCCTGTGCCTAGCTGACTTGCCTGTCGACCAGGCTGTCGTGAGTTCGAATCCACATTTAAAAGATCTAGAATAAAGCCAGCACTATAAAAAGTCATGTCAAGTCAAGACGGCCAGCATAATATTATTTATATTGTTATTATAATTATTATTACCTGTATTATTAGTGTAGTTTTTTGTGTAATATTATTTGTATTATTATTTGTATTTACTCGTATTATAGGTTAGTTGCGTATCCTTTACAGGACGTTGCAGAATCAACCCAAGCAGCCCCTGGCTGTTGTGTGGTTTCTCTAGGCAAATTTACGTCCAATAGTGTGCCACTGCCCCTGGACGGTCGGCGCCCTGATACCACTGTCGAAACTTACGCAAGGCGGATGGCCCGCAACTGGGATCGAACCCGGCACCCCGGCATTTCGAAGAGTTCGCATCGACTTAGCCACAGAGCCGACCACTTGTATTATACAATGTATAATAAAATCCCAGTTATCAATGTGTTCAGAAAACGGATGGCACATATCAAGCCAGTGAGGCATCGGGATTTGAGTGCTTGTCTCACAGCATCTGTGGCTTAGGTACAGCAGTAAGGAATAATACTTATTTAAAACAAGAATAAAAAAAAAATTAAAAAACAAAAAGATGATTGTAATCTTAATGACAACAAGAAATAAATTAATACATTTATACCTGAAACGCAACGAAGGGAAATGCAATTACGCGCGTAGATACAACTGAACTTTTCGATCAGTTTTTATCAACACAAACTATGAGAATCCTCACAACGCACACTAAAATCACCTAGAGAAAGAAATCAAATGCAAACTGGACAAATATGAATAGAAAGAGTTTTTGCGAAATGAAACAGAGAAAATAATAGGAAAAATAGGAATATAAATAGACAATTATAAAATAAACGAGACAGTGCGAGGAAAAAAAATGAGTCACAAAAATATACAAAGGTTTAAAGAATGTTAATTCCTTCTGGGCTCATAACGCCTAAGCTGTAATTTAAACAATATTCAAGAAACTAGAAACTTTACTTTTTATTTTTTTCTCTTTATAGTTGTGTTACCAGAGACGCTACCGGCTACTAAAATCGGCTACAAAAAATATAATTTATTGTCGACATCTGTGATTTTCTCTTTGTTACAGAAATCTAAGAGTGAACCGCAAGTTGTCATCACATTTTGGTCAGGGAACTGCAAGTTGTCATCACATTTTGGTCAGGGAACTGCAAGTTGTCATCACATTTTGGTCAGGAAACTGCAAGTTGTCATCACATTTTGGTCAGGGAACTGCAAGCTAAGCATTACAGGACATAATCATGAGGACCTTCAGTTTTCTGCTCTGTGTGGGGTTTCTGGCCTGTCTCAACGTTTCTTCAGGTAAGCTTTCTAAAAGACTCGCATTTGCAGTAGAGAATTCAGGGCGGGAAAAAAAGGGGGCGAAGGGGCCCACCTCCAACAAGTAGGCCACAAGACGGCTAATTAGGGGTTTGTTGACGTCGGATATGTTGCACTAAAAAGCTTGCATATCACATCCTAGCTGTAAACCACAATATTACGTACCAATAGAAGATACGCCACTAGCAAAAAACTAGAAATTACAAATCACCACACTCTGCGACGCTGTACGACACTTGCAGTAGGTCAAAAAGGCGAAAAAGAAGTAGAAAATTAAGCAGTCACTACTATTTTAATCTTACACTATATTCAAACAAAGGGTGGTAAAAATGCTCTCTATATTCTCTCCTCCTCTTGATGTCTCTCTCTCTCTCCCCCTCCCCACTCTCTCTCTCACTGTCTCACTTTCTGTTACTGAAGCAGCTACCGCCCTCCATCTAATGCCCACTTTACTATTCTCTAATTCGTGTTGTTTTTAACGTAGGCGTTTCCCCCCCCCCCCCCCCCACCACCACACAAAAATTTAGTGCTTTAATAATAACCTACCCCAAACAAGGGAAATCCACAGGTCATGGGACAGTCTAATATTTCAAGGGGTGGTAGATAGGCTGCATGCAGTCGTAGGACCTAGGCTGCATGCATTCGTGGGACCTAGGCTGCACTCTCGGGTGGAACGAAGGTGGGTTGGGATAAGGGCCAGTTCTAGATGTTTTGGGGTCGTTAAACGCATCAGAAAGCCTGGAAACGCAGTCTTACCACCCTATAAAATGTTGGACTGTCCAGTGACGTCATCTGGGGTAGGATAACAACAAAGCACCAACAATTTGTTTTCAGAGAAAACATATATTAATAATTTTTGAACAAATTTACAATTAAAACATTATGTTATTAAACAAAAATTACAGAATGTAAACAATATTACAAAACTAAAAACTTTAATTTCGTGCAACGATAATGCTAAAAAGGTTATTAGAGAAGGTAGAGCTTTAAGAAAAAAACTACAATTTAATATTTAAAAAACACAAACACAGTGGCAGTGAGTGCACGACCTGCAATAAGAATGATGGAGATGCTACCTGTCTTTTTCTAACAGAATAATAATCGTCTTCTTCTGCCCTTAATTCCCAACTGGATCATATGGGAAACCAACCAACACAGGTCAGCGGTTCCATCCTTTTGCTATCTCTTGCAGCTCGCGTCTTGCATTCTCTCTATTCATCACTGACTGTAATTGCTTTTTCTGTGTGTTTTAAATCTTGCGTTACCCATGTTGCCATAAACGGACATTCTAGTCGTACGATTATCAGTTGTTGTTTAAACCACAGTATGTTTCCGATACAGTTACAACTTCTTTTCACCAAATCCTTCTCTCTTTTACGATACTGCTTATGCCATAACGTATAAAGCATTACACAGAGTAGTTAGATGTAGTTTTCTGTTATTCGCTAGCTGCTTTAATGTCAGACTGCTTCTCGCGAGCGTCTCTTTTACTCCATCTATACATTTCTTTCTTGGTCGATCTCTTGCCTTGTACCTCCTGTTCTCCCGCAGTAGGCTCTAGCTGCTGGCTAGTTTTGTTCCATTTTGACCAGATGCCCAAACCATTTGATTGTTTGATGTTCTGTGAAATCATTTACAGGTACCTAACCTAGCATTATTGTTAGATTGTCGTTGGTGACTCAGTTTCATCGCCCTCTTTCTGCCTGTTGTCGGTCTGTGTGCATGTTTGCCTGTTCGCCCCTCTGTCTGCCACTCACTCTTTTTGTGGAAGCTCTGCACTTACACATTTTGTCATCCGGTTTAATTTCTTCTTAAATGCCCAGACACCCGCCAATGACCCATTGCAGATACTTGTAACTGTTTTAGCTTTTCATTAAATTATTTTTCCTTTTGTAACCACCTTGATGACCTCGTATAATCTACGGTGCACACGCCTCACGTTTTTTATTTCTATATATTTGATTTTTCTTATAAGAATCGCCCTTAAAATAGCGGTTGGCACGTTGTATTGTGTTATGCAGTTACGCTGCGATATCTACATCCTATCCTAATGCATCCGATTTCTGCAAACCTTTTACGGCATGCTTGTCATGGGGGCAGCGAGTCTAGCTCCCCTCCTCCCCCACACTGAAACCCACAGTTTGAGAACCAGCAACCTGTACTAAATGACCCCCCAAAGGAACACCACTGTCTTAACAAGGTATTACATTTCTGATGCGCTCAGTCACACTAATAGCATTCTACAGCACTGTAATATCAAAATAAAGAAGATAGTTGTTGATAGACTGTAAACTAGCATCTAGATAATGGGTGAGTTTATCATACATTAACACAGGGGGAGAGGGAAAGCGGGTATATACAATAAGTGAGAGTTTACCTGTGCGAACGATTTTGTCGATATCCAGTGATTAAAATAATAACTGCTCACTGTATGTGAGCGTGCATGCATAAACATTATCCATAATAAAGTTGATGTGATAATGTCCAATTTAAGCAGGAGTATTTGTGTAAATAAATTAATCTCCTCTAGAAGATAACCATTATCGTATTCATCGAATGTCACAAGTGTAGCAGTTACCATCTTTATCGCACGTCACAGCGTTTGCTTCAGTCAAGGACACGGGAGTGACCAACAGGAAAACTTTGTGGGTAACCCTCAGCCTCCTTACACATTTGTTAACGTTAAAGGGTGGGCTCAAATGGGGCCAAAGTCCTATTTAATAATAATAATAATATAAATAATAATAAAAATAATAATAATAATAATAATAATAATAATAATACGATGATGCTGATGAGGACTATGAACGGCCAATACATATTATTATAATAATATTTATCAGTCCGTAAGTTAGCATGTCCTGCACAGAATCTTGCTCTCTTCGCAGCACGCTTGAAAGTCTTTCTGTATCTACCCACTTCTCCAGCCCTGTCTGCTTTCACAGCCCATGCATCTTGGATGTTCTGTATCCACTGAACGCCCTTTAAAGATATTTTCTTTCTATCGTAAAGCCATAGCCCTGCTGTCGTCGAGGGCCCTAATATAACCTAAAGGCTTAACGGGGTTTCTGGGACTTGTGTCCGGATGTGTTTTGCTTTGTACTTCTTTAAATCCACGGGCGCGGTTTCCATGGTTCCTAAACTCCCGGATTACAGTGCTATGTAGAAGACTACACACACTTTTGCAGTTAAAAAATCTTTTGGTCATCTTAACCTAAGCGACATTAGGTCAGGCTATTATGACAAAGGAAAGCAAGGGCGGTCTCCCATGCGTATGACTGTGCACTTATAATCTCATTTTCTTTATCTCTTTTTCTTTTGCTTTTTAATATGTTTGGTTTATTTCCAGAACTATCGACTCTTTTACATAGCATAATTTTCGAACAGGTCTCAAGGTGCATGTCAAATAGTATTATTACATTATCCTGCAATCTTCGCTGATTGTACAAAACTCACAGTAACGCATATAAAATATGGATACTGGTGTCAAAGCATGGTGTCTGCCTGAGTGCTAGAGGTTCTGGGTTCAATTCCCGGTAAGGGCTGGGATTTCTTCACGAGGACTTGAACTTCTAGTAATTCCCCCTGATCTCTGGGTAGTGAGATCGGATACCCGTGTGCATTGTGGCGCACGTAAAAAATCCCTTGGCGGTAGGAAATCGAAAGGAGTAGCCTAACGGCGCTGCCCGGGTAAAATTTAGAATTAAAAATCTACCCAAAGTATTTCAGGATCCTCGGCGGTGCTACAGAGCCTGTGCACTGTGCTAAGCTTCTTTAGACTCAGACGAGCTAGAAGAATAACGGAGCACTTATAGGTTAATACCTGTGTGCCATGATGCTGATCCGTTGTTCAAACCTCAAACCTCATACGTACATACTAGTATGCATACATACTTAATGCACATATACAAACATAGCTTTTCTTCTGGCGGTACGAATAGTACGTAGTGCCAGTACCTTTTTAATAATTTTTTAATGTCCAGGACTACAATACTAGACATTCTGTAGTGGCGATTGTCACCTTTTTAAAAACATTTTGCGGAATGCTTCCTGTCTCAACATGGGACGCAATTTATCGTCACTTTAGGAACCTTCCGGGCTGTAGTCGGGAGCTCTAACATAAACTAGCGATTGAACGGGCTTTCTATAACTTGTGCCGGGGGAATCTCATCTAAATGGTGGCATTTTGTGTCACCGGGTATTGGTCGCGCGTTGTGCGGTCCTGGTGGGGTTGAATGTCACACATTAGACAATCTGTGGTGTGTAAGTCAAGTACAGGTCCCATTGAAAGTCAGTGGCGCATCGGATACATGAGGCTAGATTTTTTTTTAAAATAGACGAATCACCCTCGATGGGTGATGTGGTCAACATCACGCTAGCCGCCTTTACTTCCTAGGACTTCACCAAGTAATCATTTAGGGCTGGCTGGAACTAGAAGCCTGGGTCATGTATCCGCAGGCGAGTGTCTAGCCGCTACACCACAGCGGCTCCCTTTGTGTTGTGTATGGGAACCGTTT